CTATCCTGCTGCGACCTGCTCCCCATACCTTCCTGGAGGGAGGAATGAAGAGGAGCAAGGAGAATAGAGTAAAACATCGATTCTGCATTACGCGAGTAAACCTGATGAATTGGTTAGTCCAAGTCAGAAAGCACTCACTACTGCTCAGGATAGTGATCGCGACACTTATGCACACTACCCCGAGTGACGGATAACCGCCACCACCTAACAAAGCTGCCAGTCCCCGTGTTCGGCAGCTGCTACTCCTCCTCCTACTCCTCATCCTCCTCATCATCATCATCATCATCATCATCATCATCATCATCATCATCATCATCATCATCATCATCATCATTATCATCATCATCATCATCATCATCATCATCATCATCATGATCAGCATCATCATCATCATCATCATCATCATCATCATCATCGTCATCATCATCAGCAGCATCATCATCATAATCATAATCGTCTGCAGCAGCATCATCATCATTGACATAGTCATCATGATTATCATCATCATCACCACCGTCATCATCATCCTAATCATCAACAGCAGCACCGTGATCATCATCGACATCGACATGATACTCATAGTCGCCATCATCACCATGAGCATCATCATCACCACCATCGTCAACATCACTATCGTCATCAGCATCATCGTCATCAGCATAACCAGCACCATCATCATCAAGAGCAGCATCAACACAATCATCATCACCATCAGCAGCATCAGCATCAATGATAACAGCAGCAACATCATCAATAACCTCATCAGCCCCATCTTCGCTATCCTCATCTGTATCAGCAACAGCATCATGATCAAAATCACTATCAGCATGATGATCTTCATCATCAGCATCAGCATCATCATCATCATCAACATCATCATCATGATCGTCCGTCGTCATTATCATCGTTCGTCGTCGCCGTCGACATCACCATCAGCAGCAACAGCACCACTATCACAATCCTCATCCAGATCCTCAGCCTCCGCATCTTTGTCCACATCATCCTCAGCATCACTATCATCAGGATCCTCATCATCATCATCATCATCATCATCATCATCATCATCAGCAGCAGCAGCATCATCATCATCCTCGTCTTCACCCTCATCACCCTCATCCTCTTCATCCTCATCCTCATGCACATCATCTCGCTGTTGCTCCTCCTCCTCCTCCTCCTCCTCCTCCTCCTCCTCCTCCTCCTCCTCCTCCTCCTCCTGCGTGCCCTGGACTCTCGGCGCGCTCGGCCGCGACCCCCCGTCACCCGCTGGCGGCACCGTCTGCGTGCGGGTGGTGGACGAGGCGGTGGCCGACAGGGTGGTGCTGGAGGTCTGGGCCAGAGGAAAAAGAAGCACAAGCACAAACCTTCGGGGCTCCGCGAGGATTTCTCGCATCGGCGCTGAGCCTCCCGGGGAGGCGCCCCCGGCGCCGCCACTGGCGCGCTCAGCGCGCCAGTAGGGGACCACATGCGAACCCTACCCCTACACCCCATGACTTCTGAGGGGGAGGGTGGGGTTCACTTCGCTCGGGAGCTCCCGGACGAAGTGAACCCCACCCTCCCCCTCAGAGATCGTGGGGGGTAGGGGCAGGGTTCGCATATGGCCCCCTAGCCAGGACGAGGGGGGGGGGGGGGGGCAGCGCCGATCCGAGAACTCCGCGCGCAGCTCCGAAAGCTCATGGTTGTGCCGGTTTTTCTCCTCTGCTGGGTGGGGGAGGTCTCGGTGACGGTCCTGCCCACCCCGCCGCCGCAGACCTCGGAAGCGGCGGCGCGGTGCCCTCCCCCCCATTGCGATCCGGACTCGGCCACGAGGAAGGTTTCGCGAGGGCCAGCTGATCGACCGAGGGGGGGACGATGGGAGGGAAACGAGTCGACCCGAAGTCGGCGACGCAGCGCCGACAGCTCGGCGACAGACCCCCGATGGTGGCGAGTCCGCGCGGCCCTGGGCGGGTGGGCTGCCAGGCCCCACATCGTCATCGGGGATGAAGGGGCGATGAATGGGCCGAAGCGTGCCTCCCTCAGCCCGCTCCCCCCGTCGGCGCCCCTGACTCCTGCGCCCCGTCGGCGCAGCTGCCGGAACCAGAGGAGCACAACACGGCACGAAGAGAATCCGGTCTGACATCCGCGCGAGCTTCCGAGAAATGAAGTTTGTGAGCTTCTTGCCTCCCGAGGAGCGCATCCCGAGGCGGGAGAACCGCCGAGCCTCGCCGAGAAAGTCCGAGCACCTCGAGCCTCGCGCGTTCCCCCCATTGACGCTGCCCCTGGTCGGCGTTCTCAGCCTCCGCGCGGGGGCCGTGTCCTGGACCCGTCCACAAATCGACTCGGTCGGGATGGACCTGGACGCCCAGAACGGGCACGGAAATCTGGGTGCGATGCCCACCAGCGGGATCCGAGCACATGGGGGCGGAGGATCGCACCGCATCGCCGAACTACCACCGATGCATCGCCGAACCATCGACAACGCATCGGCGACGCCGGTGCTGCATCGGTGACGCCAGCGTCGGGCTCCACATCGAGTTGCATCCCCGATGCATCGTCGGTACGGAGCGACCCACCGACCCCATCTACTCGAAGCCCATCAGGGAGGCCTTAAAACACATGTAACCCAAAACCGACAGCGGCCGCTGTTGAGCAGGCGGCCCGTCTGCCTCAAGTAGACAGCTTCCGCGGCGACACCGCCAACGAGTCCTGTTCAGAATGCAGGAGATGCTGTCGGTCTTCGTCAGAGTCAACGGGCCGAACGGTGATTCACTGTCCCTGGGTGCATGGCTGAATCACGCGGGTTCTGCTTGCTTGCTTGCTTGTTGTCGTCGTCCCACCCGCGACCCGTCCCGCAACCCAACCGCGACCCACCCCGCGACCCACCCGCGACCCACCCCGCGCCCACCCCGTACGCCGCGACTCACCCCGCGCCCCGATCCCCACCGCGGGAGCGACGACGACATCGACGACGACGACGACGACGACGACGACGACGTCGACGACGACGACGACGACGACAACGGCGACGACGGCGGAAAAGCAATGCGACAATCATCCGACATTTTCCGGAGGGGTGGGTGTTCGTCCTGAATCGATGTGCGAAAGTCCTGGCTGACAGGCAGGGGCAACCTCCAGAAGCCGAAAACGAAGCCTCTGGAGGCTTCTCAGAAGCCTCTGGAAGCTTCGCAGAAGTTTCTGGGGCCTTCTCAGAAGCCTCCGGAGGCTTCTCAAAGCCCCTGGACCCTTCTCAAAGGCCTCTGGGAGCTTCTCGGAAAACTCTGGAGCCTTCTCAGAAGCCTCTGGAGCCTTCTCCGAAGCCGATGGAGCCGTCTCAGAAGCCTCTGGAAGCTTCTCAGAGGCCTCTGGAAGCTTCGTATTAGCATCTGGGAGCTTGCTCAACGGCCACTGGAGGCTTCGCAGAGGCCTCTGGAGGCTTCTCAGAAGACTCTGGGAGCTTCTCAGAGGCCTCCAGGAGCTTCTCGGAGCCTCTGGAGACTTCTTAAAAGCCTGTGGAGACTTCTCAGAAGCCACTGTAACCTTCTCAGAAACCCCTGGGAGCTTCCCGGAGGCCTCTGAAAGCCCTAAAAGCCTCTAAGAAGAAGTTCTCGGAAGCCTCTGAGAAGCCCTCAGGGGCGTGTGGAGACGGGCGGCATGATTGTAATGTGGCCGGTGTGGTTGCAAAGAGGCCCGTACGATTGCAAAGTAGCCCTTATAGGGCTGTTCTGGTTCCTTGTGAAAGAACAAACAAAGATTTCAAACGTTGTCTGGTTGGAGAGAGTTCCCCTTCTGGTTGTAAATAGTTGTTCTGGTTGTACAGAAACCGGAACTCGGGGTAGCGGGGGGGGGTCCTGGGTCAGAATACCACCCCCCCTTGGCGGGCCCAGGAGCCCCCAAAAACCAAAAGACGGGCAAACAGTGCCCTCAGTTGCCCCCTAAGACGGTCCAAGAGGAACCCAAATTGTCGACGCTCGGTCCAAGACGCCAAAGGTAGCCTCCAGACGAAAGCCCAAGAGGCCTCCAATACCTCCCAAGAGGCCTCGAAGAGCTCTTCCACGAGGCAACCTTCGCTGGTTGTTGAGCGTTCTCGCTTAGGCGTTCTCGCCTTTTCCGCCTCCAGACGCTCCAAGACTGCTCAAGAGGCCCCCAAGGTCGCCTCAAAACGGCCCACTTGGCTCCTAAAACGGCCTCCAGGAAGCCCTTGGAGGCCTCCAAGAGGCTTCCGAGTGGCCCCCTAGTGGCTCCCAAGAGGCTCCAAAAGTGCCCCCGAGAGGCCCCCGAGAGCGCGCCGAAGAGACCACAAGAAGCACCCCCGAGGACGCTGACCAACATCAGCGTCGTCGTCGTCGTCGTCGTCATCGTCATCGTAGTCGTCGTCATCATCGTCGTCGTCCTACTGGGTCGGCGGCACCAGCCGTAAAGCCTTCGAAATGAGGCGTGACGCCTGGGGCCCGGGTCTCTCCCCCTGCCCATCCCCTGTTCCCATCACCCCTCTGCGGTAAGCACATGACATAGGTTTCAATGCCATGCGAACGGCGATGATGGCGAACGGCGATGACGGGAATATGGCTTTTGCGATTCCGAACTCACGCAGGACGAATTACAAGAAAACACGAACCAGCCTTTCCTACAGTTGGGTTGGCCACGAACCAACCCCCACCTGCAATACATAAACCTGCATCGCCATTATCTACATCGCCGTCAGCGTGTCTACGGTCATTGGACGACCTTTGAGGGTCCAAGGTGCCCCGGAGCTTCTGTGGAACCCTGGGGGGAGGGCCCCTGCCGGCGCGACGGAGTGCCATGCCTCCGACGCCTGGTGCACCTCTAGAGTTCTCGACCCTTCCTGGGGACCGGTTGCTCGTCCCAGCTCGTTTTTGCTGACAGCGCTCCGGACGCCCCAATGCCGAAGCGGGCTCGTCTTGAGCTGCTCTTGCCTCGTCCTGACTTGTGGCTGCTCCTCCCCTCCCCATTCGACACAGCTTCTTCCTGTTGCCCCTTCCCCCCTCCCTCCTCCCATGCTTCTTCCATCTCGCCGACCTCTGCGTACAGTCGGACCTAGGCCAAAAGAACATCCCTCAAGAGCATGAGGCCCTCCGTTGGCCAAAACAGACGGAATACCCAAGCGTACCCTCCCCAGAATGCACTCGAAACTAGAACAAGAACATCAAGCAAACACGAAGAGCATTAGGGTACCCTCCCCGAACCAACCTCGATCTTATATCCCGGTCCGACCGTAAGTCAAAGCTCCCCTTTGAGGCAGATGCGCTGTCATGCACACTCAGCTCGCAATCGAACGCTTACAAGACCCGGAGGGCCCCCTCCCTCCGACTCCTGGAACAGCGCAGTGTGAGCAGGAGAAGGAGGTGGACGAGGAGGAAGAGGGCAAGGAGGAGGAGGAGAAGGGGGGGAGGAGGAGGAGGAGGAGGAGGAGGGGGAGGAAGGAGAAGGTGGAGGAGGAGGAGGGGGAATGAGGAGGAAGAGGGGGAGGAAGGAGAGGAGGGGGATGGGGAGGAGGGGGAGTAGGGCCTGAGCACGCAGGGGAAGAGAAGGACAAGGAGAAGGCTTGGTCGGGGCCTCTGCTCGGCTCGAGGCGTTGCTCGACTGGGGCACTGACGCAGCAGGCCTGGTCGGCAATCATCCCGAAGTTTTTGGATTCGGAGCAGGTAGCCCTGACAAGCAGTTCCCGCTCGTAGTATCTGCAAGTGCTGCCATCCCCGTCGTACCAGTCCTCCTCGCGTGGGCCGGCAAGAGAGGGTCTATGCCACAAGCTGCTACCCCCAGGGAACATGCCAATCCTCCTCCTCCTCCTCTTCCTCCTCCTCCTGCTCCTCCTCCTCCTCCGCCCCCTCCTTCTCCTCCTCCTGTTCCTCCTCCTCCTTCTCGTCCGTATCTTCCCCCCCTCCAACCCCCTCCCCCCTCCACCTTCCCCCTCCCGCTCGTAGCAGTTGCACGTGTTGTCTGCCCCGTCAAGCCAATCCTCAACGCTGTGGGCCAGAAGTGGTCGCCAGGAGCATCTGTTGTCGTGCGGGTACCCGAGGGAAAAGAAGACTTCACATCCTCTCCCTCTCACTTCTCATCCTCCGTCTCCTCACCTTCCCCCATCTCCTCTCGTTCGCCTCCTCCTCCTCCTCCTCCTCCTCCTCCTCCTCCTCCTTCGCATGACCCTGCTGGTTCCCCTCCCCCTCCCCTCCCTCCAACCTGCACCGACCTCCGTTGCTGCTCCCCTCTCGCCTGTACCCAATCCACCGGGTGGGCCACGCCCGAGGTCTTAGTCGGCTCGAGGCGGCAGACTTGCACGCTGCCCGTCTGGAAAATTCTACGGGGAAGCCGGGAGCCTGCTGCGGCGCCACGCGCGGCGAAAGAGAAACCGCTGCAACTTGGCGGCGGGCGAGGGGGCAAGTGAGAAGGAGAAGGCTTTCTCGGAAGGCGGTGGGGGCTTCTTAGAAGCCCTCGGGCCTTCTGAGAAGTGTTCCGTGTCTTCGGGGAAAGATTGGAAAACTTCTCGGAAGGTCCAGGGACTCCCGAGCCTTCTGAGAAGGCCCGCCCCTGCTCACTCCCCCCCCCCTCGCTCGCCGCCGAGCCACGCGACCCACACCTCCGGCGCGGCGCTGCGCTGCTCCGCTCAGTGCGCGGGCCTGGAGAGGAGCCCAACATATGCGCGCTCTGCCGCAAAATCTCCGGGTTGATCCAGCCAAGCGCTCTTAAGCAGAGCGGGGCACCTAAGCCTGCTCGGAAATAGCTGGGGGGGTGATCCGCGGTCGGGAGAGAGAGCACGAGTGTCAATGATACGAGCGCCGTTTGGAGCACGTCGGCACGATGCTCAGTCGTTTTGTGTCCCGAGGCCTGGTGCTTCTCCAACAGCAACACTCTAGTGGGTTTTCCACGACGGCGTGGCATTGATGCCGTCTCAACTCTACCACATCCCAGACATCCGGCGTCGTGCTGTTTCGCAACGTGCCCTCCCAGAGGTCTGGACCCCTTCGGAGGGACCAGCTCTTCGTCCTGACTCGGGACTTGAAGGCCACGGGACCCGGGAGGGGCCCGCACAGGCTGAGAAACGCTGCCCAAAGCCTTCCGCCGTGCTTTTTTCTCGCAGCGAGTGGACGTCGGGGATGTCTCCCCGCCAGATCAATCGCCCGTGTTTTGAGCAAGGACCCACCGTCCCGGCATTCCTATAGGCCTACCACGTAATGTTCTTAGAACCCCCAAATTTTCGAAGAACGAACACACTGTTCTTGGAACATGAGCCCGATGTGTTGAAACAAGACAGTCCCAGCTAGAAATGTTCTAAGGGCATCTCGTTGAAACCATCAAGGGCTCTTAGAACATTCTCGGGTAGGCCTATAGGCGAGCCAGGACGCTTCGCCACTGCTTGACAGTTTGACACATCAGGCTGTGAGGGCGAATCTCCTGACCACCGTTTCATCATCCGAAGTGGTAGTCAGCGGGGGGGGGGGGAGCGGGCGCTTGGACCGTCTGCGAAGCCGGCCGACCACCATGCAGATTACGAACGGGGGTGGGTTATGCCTGCTCGAGACCACTTGGGTAAATCACTTTTAAACTGCACAGGCAGACCGCTGTGACCAGAGTCGCGCGAAGCACGAAGTCGTTCATTCCGATGCTCGTGGGAGACTTCAAGCGAAGACATGTCACTAATCCGCCACCGTGCCCCCGAGCACGTTGCGGCGTAATAAAATGCCAAGGTCTGTCTTGCACGGTTGTTTTTTCTCGAATTATAACACAAAAGGCCCTCCCCCATCCCTACCCGCAGACTCTTCCGTGCACCGCCCCTCCTTTCCGAGGCCATTTTCCTCGTGCCCACTCGAGGATAATGCACTTCAAGTATGGATGCGAATGCTCCATCCCAGGTTCCACGTGTGCCTGCTTGTAGATGGTGCATTTGTCGCATGGCAACGAACGCCTGAACCCTCATTCAATGCTCACCCACTCTCGGGTCGTGCACCTTCCGCATGGCTGCTAACTCCAAGACCCATCATCCCACGCGCACCGGCTCGAGGATCGTACAATTTCCGCATCCCCAGAGCTCCAAAAAGCCCAAAATGCCTCTAAGAGGGCAGAGAGGACTCCGCGATGGCCCAAGAGGTATCCATGACGGCCCACTACGGCCCAAGAAGGCTTCCCGTGGGACCCACGAAGGCCTTAGAAGGTCCATCGACGGCCCCTATCTCGAAAAACGGCACGGGCGAGGTGTACGTGTGACGGATTTGCGTTTAAAAACAAAAACCGCATCATCATCATCATCATCATCATCATCATCATCATCATCATCATCATCATCATCAGCAGCAGCAGCATCAGCAGCATCATCAGCATCATCATCATCATCCGTATCATCATTTTATCACCAACACCATCATCATCAGCACCATCGTCATCATAATCATCATCATCATCATCATCATCATCATCATCATCATCATCATCAGCATCACCATCATCATCAACAATACAATCAACATCATCACCACCACCATGATCACCATGAACATCCTCGCCGCCGCCACCATCATCACCATTCGTATCTTCGTCGGCATCACGTTATTCATCCCTCAAGTCCGCCAGTCCTCAACCTTGGTCCTCTTCATCGTCGTTCGTTATCATTCACGTGTTTTCTTCCTCACCATCGTCGTCGTGTCCTCCCTCGTCCCCTTCTGCCGCCGCGTGGGCTGATACCTCGTCGACCTCTCATCCCACTCGCACCCGCTCGAGGATCGTGCGCCTGACGTATTCCTGAGCTTTCAAGATGGCCCAAGACGTCCAAGGGGGCCCCGAACACGGACAGAAATAACCAGAATCACGAATGTCTTTTTAATGTTTCAAATGCGTTTTGCAAGCTGGGAGCTTCTTGCGCCTCGCGGAAAGGCGCGAGTCACTAGTATACACCTAATCCATCGCAGAGCACGCCAGCGACTACACTGCCGACCAGCACTGCACAGGCCAGGCGGACATCTGACATCCTTGCGCAGCAGCTCAATATCTGAATAGATTTGGGAGTCCCGGGAAGCTCCCAGAAGCTCCCTGCACGCAGACAGCAAAACACCGCGTAAAAACATCATAAAACGCATTTCAAAGCTGAACACAAATCGCGTCGGAGACGACACGTGGCCAGAACAATCGACACCAACAATGAAACTTTACATGTGTTTACGGTTTGGGGAAGATTCTGGACCCCCGGGGAGCTGGGGCTCAGAAGCACGAGGCGCGCTGTCTAGGCAACGTCTAGGCCAAGCCTTACGTGGCGCCCGCGCATTCTGACACGCCTCCTGCGTCGCCCATGACACCCGGGCCTGCGGGGCAACCAAAACACCGAAGCTAAAAACACCAAAAGGTTATTCAAGGCCGCTGCCCAAAACACCCCCCCTGGTGCTCTGAATCACTCCACAAAGAACCCAACACGAAAAACATGTGCAAACGCGTTAGGAATCAAAATAAGAAACCGAAACCGCCCCTGGAAGACTTTTCCCCAGAAGCGTCCCCGGGAGCGTCCCCTCCGGGAAGCGTCCCCCTCCAAGAAAAACAAATGCCTCAGAAATCAAACATGTCAGCTCAAAGAGATCGATTCAGCAAACGCGTTGGAAGTTCCTCGATGCACGCGCTCGTGCGCAATCTCAGCCACAATCGTAAAACAATTCGACGAATTCCCTGCGCACCAACAACTAGTGACCGCTTATGTACAAGGATTGGAGGGGGTTCGTTCGAAGACAAATGAGCCATCGGCTCGCCGCCGAAGCCCTTCGGCCCCAGCGGCGAGTCGCGGAGCCTCTTCGCCCCCACGGCGACCACGCAGTCGGCTCGCCGCCGAGGAGCGCTTGGGCCCGCGGCGACCACGCAGTCGGCTCGCCGCCAGAGCTTTGGGTGACCAAAAAGGGGGTCCAGCTGAGAGGGGGCGGTGCAATACATTTGGGGCACTTGTATTGCAAACGTACTGCGCCAGAGAATTGGATTGCATTGTATTGCAAGTGATGTGTTGCACGCAAAAATCCTGCAACGCATTCGCGCCCCAGAATGTATTGCACACCCCAGATGCTTTGCAACCCCACAAATATGTTGCACAAAATCTATTGCACCACCCCCTTCCAGCTGGAGCCCCTCTTGGGTCAACCCGAAGAGTGTTTCGGCCCTGGCGTTGAGTCGCGAAACCTTTCGGCCCCGCGGCAACCACGCGACCGGCTCGCCGCCAGAGCCCTTCGGCCTCGCCGCGACCATGCAGCCAGGTCGCCGTCAAAGCCTTTCGGCCCTGGCGGCGAGTCGCGAAGCCTTTCGGCCTCTCATCCTCATGCTCATCCCCATCCCCATCATCATCATCATCAGCAGCATCAGCATCATCAGCATCATCAGCATCGTCATCGTCTCCATCAGCACACGAAGCAGCAGCATCATCATCAGCAGCATCATCAGAAGCATCAGCATCAGCATCATCATCAGCATCAGCATCAGCATCAGCATCAGCATCAGCATCATAACCCACCTCATCATCAGCATCAGCAACAGCAGCAGCATCATCATTATCGTCAGCGTCATCATCATTGTGAACATCAGCATCACAATCATCATCACAATCAGCATCGTCATCATCCTCGTCATCATCATCAGCACCATCATGACCATCAGCATCGCCATCAGCATCATAATCATCATCATCAACATCAGCAGCATAGTCATCATCAGTAGCATCGTTATCATCATAACCATTACCATCACCATCACCATCACCATCACCATCACCAACACCATCATCCTCATCATCCTCAAAACGGCCCTCCCAAGCCTGGAGATGCGAAGAATCACATGAGATGGCCTCCCGTGTCCCCTCAAACAACCGCCACCCAGAATGCTGGACTGACACGGTGGCGGGACTTGCCGCAGGCAGCTGGATTATTATCTAATCTAGTTTCTCGCTCTCCGCACCGCAAAAACACATGAACCTGTTGACAGCTCGCACAACACGAGTCGGCTGATGGCCGATCGCATCGGGCACGACCTCGAGCATCGAAGGCCTTGCTGGCTTGCACTTGGCCGCGGAGGCTCTCAACATCTGTGAAGCTTCCCCCATCCCCCTTTGGCTCCTCCTCCTCCTCCTCTTCCTCCTACTGCTCCGCCTCCGTGACCAGGACGGGTCCTGAGGGGACGGTTGCCAATCGAAGCACTCGGTAGTCGTTGACAAGGTGGAAGTGGTGGTCACCGAGTAGTGGACTCCACCACCTGGTGGGACGCATGCAACAACGAGGCAGACATGAGGGAGGTGGGGAGAGAAGAGTGAGAGAGAGAGAGAGATGATGCTGCTGATGATGATGATTACGGTATTGATGGCACTGATGATGATGTCGATGATGATGTTGGTGCTGCTTACGATGATGATGATGATGATGATGATGATGATGATGATGATGCTGATGCTGATGCTAGTGATGCTGGCGATGATGGTGACGATGATGATGAGACTGATAATGATAATGATGATGATGACAATGACAATCATGATGATGATGACGATGGTGATGATGGTGATGGTGATGGTGATGGTGATGGTGATGGTGATGATGATGATGATGATGATGATGATGATGATGATGATGATGGTGGCTTCTCCAGCGCTGCTGAAGTATCTTGTCTTCGATGGCAAGGCAAAATGTGAGCTCGCTCCAAACGCAAGAATGACCTTTGCCCGCGGCCTTTGCGGGGGGGAGGGGGGGGCGGGGCGGCGCTTGGGGGCCAAACCTGGGCGCGCAGGGCCGCCGCTACCGCATGGCGTTCAGCGATCGGAGGACCACAGCGAGCCCGCACCAAGGCGTGGTTGGGAAATGCAAACATCGCGCTGGCGACTCGGGGGCCGGCCGGAAATCGCTTGGATGCTGGTCCCTGCAGGCCGAAGATGGTGCTGGTGACGCTGATGCCGATGCTGATGCTGATGCTGATGCTGATGCTGGTAATCATGTTGCTGATCATGATAATGATGATGATGATGATGATGATGATGATGATGATGATGATGATGATGGTGATGATGATGATGGTGGTGGTGATGATGATGATGCTAATGATAATGATGATGGTGGTGGTAATGGTGATGGTGATGATGACGACGATGATGATAGTGGTAATGGTGATGGTGATGGTGATAGTGATGCTGCTGGTGATGATGATCATGATGATGCCGATGATGATGATTGTGATGGTGATGATGATGATAAAGATGAGGTTGAGGATGGTGGTGATGCTGGAGATGCTGATACTGATGCTGATGCTGGTACTGATGTTGATGATGATGCTGATGTTAATGATGATGGTGATGGTCATGGGAATGGTGGTGGTAATGATGTGGAGTTAGATGTTGAGGTTGAATGGTGGTGTTGATGTTGTTGTTGATGATGATGAGGATAATGCTGATAATGATGACGGTAGTGGTGATGATGATAATGCTGGTGATGATGCTGAGATTGATGGTGATGCTGATGCTGCTGATGATGATGATGGTAATGGTAATGGTGGTGGTGGTTTTGCTGATGTTGATGTTGATGGTGGTGGTGATGTTGATGTTAGTGTTGAGATTGGAGCTGCTGTTGGTGATGATGTCGATGATGGTGATGGTGGTGGTGGTGATGATGTCGATGATGGTGATGGTGATGGTCATCAGGATGAGGATAATGTTGAGCATGCGCCTGATCTGGAGGAGGTGGATTGTAATGGAACTTGTGATGGTGGTGGTGGTGATGGCATATGGTGATGGTGATGGTGGTGGTGGTGATGGTGGCGGTGATAGTGGTTATGATGAGAATGATGGTGTTGATGATTTCGTTTGTTTGGCAAGACGCGAGATGGGGGCATGTCGAGAAAATGAAGGAGGCGGAAGGAGCAGCGGCAGAGTTGAGGAGACAGGAAGGAACAAGGACGAGCGACACCACCACCACCAGCGCGAGGCGCCAGGGAGGGTTCTCCTGGTGGCATGGCCCCCGCCCTCTCGCTCTCGGCATCCCCTGTCCCCAGCTCGGGGAGGCATCGTGGACCCCCTCGCTGGCGGTGGCCCCGCCCTGGAGGTGATGATGCTGCCCCCTCCTTCCTCCGAGGAGGGGGGGGGGCGGCCGGCGGGCGGGGGCCACCGCACACGCAGCAGGCCTCGTTGGCGGTCCTGCCAAAGGTCGGGTCCTGGACCGAGGCGAACGCGCCGCAGTGCTCGCCGCCGTCGAGGGCATACCTGCGGGGGGGGGGCTCTAAAAATCTGCTTGCCAGCTCGCGCCAAGGCTGCTGAAGGCTGGGCGCTAAGAACGCGTGCGCCGCACCCCACAGGCAACGCAGCGCTCAAGGCCAGCAATGGATCGGAGACAGGCGCCAAGAACATGTCCCGGAGGACTGCCCCTCTGGGAGCTCGGCAAGGACGCCAGAGCGCCAAAAGTTTCAGATGACGTGCTTATAAACCTCGGCGGGCGGTGCCGGATGGCCTCGGGGACCCGCAGAGGACCCTTGAGCACCTCAAGCAGTCTGGCGATCGACGACGAGTGCGCCCCCAGACGTCTTGCAGCATGGCCTGCACCGTGCGCATCAGCCGCATGCTCGCGGAGCCGCGGCTAAACGTGAGCCGGGACGCCGGGGATGCAGACGGAAAGCAGCGGAACGATGCGCAACAGGGAACGCTGCCCCCAGAAACGGCAGCGGCCGCTGCTAGGGCAGGCGACGCTCGCCCTGGAGGATAAGCCACAAAAGTACCCCTAACCCTTGAGGATTGGACCGAAGTTACGAGGCCCAACACACATTCGGGATAGGGGGTCTTCTGCACTTGCACCTAGCCAGACCACCCAGAATGCAAAGACGGGGACCTGAGGAGGCTACGTCTTCATCTTGTTGTAAGGTTAGGGGGTCTCCTGTTCTCGATGACTGGATGGACAACCCCCACGGACACACCGTCAACCAACTCCTGCTCCAAAGGGGGCTGGAGCTGCTGGCGATCTCTTCGCTCCCGTGCTTACCCGTGCCCCCTCTCGGCCCTCCCGCTGCGGAAGCCCGAGGACACCGCGGCCAGTGGCCGCCTGGGGGGTGCCGGCAGGTGGCGACCTCCCCGCCCGCAGGGCCAGGCCTCAAAAGGGTCGGGCACGCGCTGGCATGGTCCACGGATCCGTGGATCTGGCGACTCCGCGCCAGATCCACGTGGGACGCAAAGGGACATGCTGGTGCGACGCGTCCTCCTTGGAGGAGTGCGTCCGACCAGAGTGCACCAAGCTCAAAGCATGTCGTCGCTACGCCAGCGGTGTGGCCAGAGAGCGCCCGCCACCGAGCATACTTCATAAGATCTCTCTGTGCGCGGGCGCCGCACCTTTTGCGGGCGACGAGCAGTCTGCCGCCGGCGGCGAGGCAGAGGCAGTCCGCTCCAGCGTGTGGCTAATCGGGGCAACCGGAATGCGACTTGTCTGGCGTGCAAGAGCTTCCACCCCTGCTCCCCCCGCGCGGGCGACGACCACACAGTATCATCATGCTTGGGCGAAGCGACTGCCGCCCGACCTGGCGACGGAGCGCACCGATCCTGCCCGGAAGCGGGACCTGTCGCCAATCCGCGCGTCTCGATGCCTGTCTGCGCTTCCTCGAGAATGACAGGAACACGTTGGTTTTATGACGCCCGTGACGGGCACCGCTCCCCTGGTCACGTGACGATTCGCGCCGGCGCCAAGTGGGCATTTGCCATTCCTGATCATTCCCGGACGGCGCCCACGCGGATCGTGACGTGACGTGACCGGCCCCCCGCCCCCCGGTCACGCCCGTCATCGTCAGGGGATCAAAGCACGGCTTCCGGCTCACCTCCCCCGGCCCGCCTCTGGGCATCCGCCCCCGACTCGGGGGCGCGCAAACATGGATTAGCTATCCATGGAGTTGGCGCGCGGTCGCCAAATCCATGGATCGGGGGAGGCGCCCTCCCCAAAATGCGGCCGGCGCCGCCTCGTTCGGCGGCGGAAACCCCCGATTTCCCACGGAAACGGGACCCGTCGCTACTCCTCGCCCCCATTAATCCATGCTTGCGATCGCCCGAGCCTCTGGGCATCCGCCCTCGACGTCGCGCCCTCGGGGGGGGGGGGGGGGGGGCGCCACGCGCAGTCGTACAGCGCCCCCAGTGGGTCGTACCACTTGTCCTCGCGCGGCAGGGGGGCCAGGAGCGAGGCCGGGCAGGGCCGTGGACCTCCGCGGGCCCCTGGAGGCCTCGGCCCCTCCCCCGCGGCTGGCCTGCCAAACTTGGAGGCCTGGAAGTGGGCACCAGCACCAACGTTGACACAGGGGGGGGGCCTCCACGGGGGGGAGATGATTCCAAATGTCGGTGTTGGTGGTAATGGTTCGGCCACCTTGGAAGCCAGAACATTGCCGCCATCGCCGAGACCGGGATCTTCTTCCCTCGGTAGAGGCACACCGCCGATATTGGTGTTGGTGTCGACCTCTAGGCCTGCGACAAACGCTCATCCCGCGCCGACTCCACAGGAGGCCGAAAAATGAGAAGAGACCAGCAAGCAGACCGTTCTGACAAAAATGCAGGGGTTCCAGAAGGCCTGTCTGGAACCTGCCGATCCCTGGAATAGGAGGGCAAAAAACGGAATAAACACAATCTCTGGGAGTCCCGTGCAGATTTCTCGGATCGGCGCTGGACCCCCCCTCTCTGGCGAGCGGAGCGCGCCAGGGGCGGCGCCGGAGGCGCCGCCAGTGGGGCTCCAGCGTCGATCCAGGAAACCCGCGCGGAGCCCCGACAAGTTAGATTCGTGCGTCTCACAAAATCCGCGTGACGCTCCCACGATGTATGTCCAGGCGGTTTTTGTTCCTCGAGCCCTGGGCCGTGAGGCTGGTCACAGACCTCCCTGCGGAACGACGCGGCGCTGCACGCGCTGCACCCGGGTCGCCTCACCTCGCGCGGCGGCGCGCCGCCAACCCTGGGGAAAAGCGCAGCTCCCCGGCCCAGCCGCCGAGCGCGGCCGTCCTCATGCACGCGCGGGTGACTTGGCGACACGCGCCCATCATTTGGACGCCCGAAATGGGTACGGAAAAGATGGGTGCGATGCCCAACAACAAAAGTCGTCCCAAACCATCAGCGGCCGCTGTTGGGCAGGCGGCCTTCGGTCTCGAGTGGACACAGGCCGCGGCGGCGTGGACAGCGAGTCCTGTTCAAAATGAACCGGATCCGCTGTTGGGCACTGTACCCATTTCTTCCCGCACCCACTCCGATTCCTGCCGACATCCGTCGGGATCCCAGGGGAGGCTGCTGGGCGAACTGCCGCCCGGCGTGGAGGCAGCTGCTGCCGCCGACGGACGCCCTGGGCCCCCCCCCGCTGCGCAGGCGGCCGACCCGTCGCGCCGGGGACCTGCACACACCGACCTCCGGGTTCACGCCGGGGCTGCTCTTGGACGGCCTACCTTTCAGGGGGCCCAAAGACACACAAATACATGCACACAAATAACCGGATCCCCCATGTGTTCTCATATGTTCGGGGTTTCTGTCTTCGCCCCCACTTCCTATATTTTCCCATTTTGATTCGGGAATCGACGATTAATTGTGTCTGTGTGTTTTTCCCCTCCTGATTCCTGGGCTCGGAAGCGGCCCCTGCGCGCCGAATTGATGCAGCAGCAGCAGCAGCATCATCGTCTCTCGGTCTTGCAGAGCGCCGCTCTCTACGTGCTCACCACCCCGAAGCCTCGAGACCCGCCCTCGTCGTTCATGAGCGTGCCCCCTCTGTGGGGGTTCTTCTTCTTTTCGCACCTGCACTTTGGGCACACCCCGACAGGGTAAGCTTAGCGGATCGGGCGGGCGGATCCCAACGAGCGGGTCGGGCGGGCAGGCCCTAACGGGCGGGTCGCGCGGGCGGACGCTACGTAGTGGGCGGGCCGAGCGGCCGGGGGGCAGTAAAGCACGAGTCATAAAAATCCACCGACCCCGTCGGCGTAGGCGGAGAGGCCTGCCGAGCGAGACCCCCGCAGGGTCGACCGTGCCGTGGCGTCTCGAGCCCATCCCAAACCATGCTCAGGCAACCTCCACATGCACCACTAGTTCATCTCGCACGACTCCGTACAAGCCCAGGAAGCCCCATCCCTGAGCCCCTAACCCACCTGGGTTAGGGGTACAGGGCACGACTCCGTACAAGCCCAGGAAGCCGGGCTCCCGGTGGAGGTGCCCACCCCTCAGGGTGTGCCCCCCACCCCCCACCCCAAGAGTGGTATACTCCCCACCTCCCTCCCGAGTAACAGGAGGGGCCCTCCCTCCTCCGCCTCGTTCTCCTTCCTCCCACTCCTCATCCCTCGTCGACGTCGTCGCCCCTCCTCCACCCACTCGTCCTTTTCGCTCATCCTCCCAAGGACCCCCACGAGGGCCCCAAAAGGAAAAACTCATGCATTTGTCCTTCGGCATTTGACGATTCTAGCGTTTCGTTTGCGTCTTCAAAAGCTCCAAGACGGCTCAGTAGACCCGGAGATCGCCCCAAGACGGCCCGCGCACCCCAAGGAAGACCCAAGGACGGCCCAAGAGGGCCCCAAGACGGCCCAAGAGGATAGTTACACGTACTGTCATTTCGAGACATCTGCCTCAAGGTGACCCCCGAGACGGCGAGCAGGCCCCCAAGAGGCCCCCGAGAGGCCCCTCGGGAGGCACCCAAGAGGCGTCCCAAGAGATCCCTGCATGCACTCAGGAGGCTTGCGTCGGGATGGGCCAGCAGCCACTGGATCCGTCGTCCTCCCCCCCGTGCTTGCCACGGGGGTGCACGGCGTGCTGCATGCCCGAGCGGTGTGGGTCCTCTCCGAGGCTCCCGGCAGGGGCGCGGCCTGCTGCGCCGGCCGAGCCGACAGGAGGACCCCCCATCGGCTATTCACCCCGTAGGAGCCACAGCACTCCCGGGTGCTCGGCCTTCGCGCTCCAGACGGCCAAAGATGACCTCCAAAAATGGCCAAGACGATCTCCCAGACGGCCACGATGGCCCCAAGAGAGCCCGAGATGTCTCCAAGACGGACCGAGATGCCCCCAAAATGGCCAAAGATGGCCTCAAGATCGCACAAGACGGCCAAAAGAGGCCTCCAAGACGGCCCAAGAGGCCTCCGAGAGGACCTCCAGGGCGACCCGAAGAGACCAAGATCATTAATTGTCCATCGGTTCTTGGAGGATTCTGGCGTTTGCTCATTTTCGGCCTTCCGACGCTCCAATAAGGCCCCAGAGGCCACCAAGATGACCCCAAGAGCACCCAAGAGGCCTCAGAGATGGCCCCCTGACAGCCCCAAGAGGCCCCCAACACGGCCCCAAGAGGGCCCCAAGACAGCCCCAAGAGACCCCCCCCCAGACGCCCAAAATGGGCTCCGACACGGCCCTGAAACGCCCCCAGAGGAGCAAAGTCGTCCCAGAGCGGCCCCCAAGACGGCTTTCGACGGCGTCAGACGGGCCAGGAACGCCCTCAGACGGCCAAAGAGCCACCCAGGGAGCTTCCAAAGCCCCCCCCAACAGGCACAAGGAGGCCCCTAAGAGGCCTCCGAGAGGCCCCCAGGAAGCTCCCAGGATGCCTCAAGAGTGTCCCAAGAGGCTCCCAAGAGACCTCCTCCTCCTCCTCCTCCTCCTCCTCCTCCTCCTCCTCCTCCTCCTCCTCCTCCTCCTCCTCCTCCTCCTCCTCCTCCTCCTCTTCCTCCCCTCCTCCTCCTCCTCCTCCTCTCCGCCTCCTCCTCCTCCGCCTCCTCCTCCTCCGCCTCCACCTCCCCTCCGCCTCCGCCTCCTCCCCCTCCGCCTCCTCCTGCGCCTCCTCCACCTCCTCCTCCGCCGCCGCTCTCCTCCTCCTCTCCTCCTCCTCCTCCTCCTCCTCCTCCTCCTCCTCCTCCTCCTCCTCCTCCCTCCTCCTCCTCCTCCTCCTCCTCCTCCTCCTCCTCCTCCCTCCTCCTCCTCCTCCTCCTCCTCCCCCTCCTCTTCCTCCTCCTCCTCCTCCCCCGTCCTCCTTCCTCCTCCTCCTCCTCCTCCTCCTCCTCCTCCTCCGCCTCCGCCTCCGCCCTCCTCCCTTCCTCCTCCGCCGCGGCCTCCACCCCTCCTCCTCCTCCTCCTCCTCCCTCCTCCTCCTCCTCATCCTCCTCTTCCTCATCCTCCTCTTCCACCTCCTCCTCCTCCTCCTCCTCCTCCCCTCCCTCCTCCTCCTCCTCCTTCCCCTCCTCTTCCTCCTCCTCCCCCGCCGTCCCTCCTCCTCCTCCTCCCTTCCGCCCTCCTCCTCCTCTCGAGTATCGAGGTGCTCCTCGAGCCGTTCGGGGATGATCGTCGGCCTGCGTTTGTCCGCTCCTCGGCTCCCTTGCAGCCCTCCGGGGACCTCCTGACCCCACGCTCAGGGTCGGGCAGGACCGGCTGTGACGCCTCTCCGATAAGTCTTAACGAGAGCACGACTCCTGAGCAGCGAGAGCGCGTTCCGAAATGAATTGTGAGAGGTCCCAGGCGAGAGCGCAGTTCTTCTTGAGAAACATTCGAGGAAGTCTCGAGAGAGACCGCGATTATGGAATACGCTGTGAGAAAGTGCCAGGTCGGAGCCATTGAAGCCGAGGTGAGGTTTGAGGTACAAGACTTCCCCGGGCACAAAACAAGGTGCGATCACAGAGGGTGGCACTTCAATTGAAAAACATAATGGGCACTGGTGAGGGGGATAAACAAGAATGACCCTTCAGGAATAAGAGTTCAACACAACAACAAAAAACACAACCATCGATTAGAATGGTGGCTCCTCGTGGCCCACAGGAGATGCAGCATCTATCTCCCAAGCCCTCGACCCCCGTCCTCTTCGAATACGAACACACACCCTTTAGAATCAGCTGCTTCATGCCAAAGCGAGTCGGGCGAGCGGACCCCAAGGCGCGGGTCGGGCGGGCGGACCCCACCAGTCGGGTCGGGCGGGCGGACCCGATCCTTGTGAGATTATGTGGATCCCGTGAGAAGCCCATAGGGGTTCACGGCATAGGAAACACCTTGGATTCATCAGAAGACCCTCAGGAATCCTCCGGAGATCGTCCCGAAGGCCGACGGAATCGTCAGACAATCA